AGAGTTTGTAACATCATAACCAAGTCATTATGGAAACCACCTCCATTCTCAACCATTATAGAAATATGCTTATCCTAGAGGTAACCTCAGAATGTTGTTGCTGGAGAAGATGTTTGTAAGGATTGTATTTGTTGTATTGTTTGGCTCTTCTCTTTTTTTAACAAAACCATTGTAATCTCCTTAGAAATTTAAGATAGCTTCTAGGGTGCATTAAGTGGTTACTGGTTTCCAAAGATCTCTCTGTTGAAACACAGGTAAGTTCATTTGCACGCATTCACATGAGTTGATACACAGGGATTGATACAAGCTGAAACACGGGAAATTTGGTGGTATTTTTATTTTCGTTTGAAAAAGCTTGGGACACTTTTTTCTTTCTGTTTTTTTTTCTTTGTAATTATATAATGTATAAAAATGCCGTCTCATTTTTTCAACTATTATTCTATTAATTATTTTTTTTTAAATGATTAATTCAAAAATAAGGAGACCTTCCATTCCACACATACATTGCATTTGTGATGTACTTATTTTAATAAGAAACAAAATTAACCAGACCTATAAAGAGTTGTGGTTTCACATTTGAATCGCATTTTGATAGTGTGAGAAACTTCTCGTCTTGTAATTTAAACTATCGCTTCATGCTTGTACTGAAAACAAAACCAAAAACGAAGCAAGCCTCTTTGTTAAATTCCATGGAGACTAGGTTGAATTTATCCAAGGTGTTAAGTTTCTTATACATGACTGCTGCATTTTGTAAAGCCTGGATTAAATAACGACACAATGATAAGAAGCGAAAAAAATCACAAAAGAATCACTTATTAGTGACACGCAGAGGAAGGAAGAAGTAAGAGAGAGATGGAGTCATATTTCTACTGAAACCATTTGAATATACATATGCTACGGGAAAGTGATTTTGATCATAAAAGTAACAATAACTTAGAGGCGTTTGCTGGTCTTGCGACCCCATGGAGTTGCCCACCAGCTGCTCGACGGAAGTCCAGAGAAGAAGAAGCTCAGCCTTTTTCTTTTTAAGCTTTTAAACGGCCTAGAAAAACGACATCGTTTTTATAAAAATGACCTGGTTAATACGACGCCGTTTTAGGCTAGGACTTGAAAAATTAAAAAGTAGTTTCGGCATATTCAAAACCCTTCCAAAACCCCAATTCTGCAAATTGAGAGATTGGAGAAAGTTCCTCCGGACAGAGATTTCGAGTCTTGGAACGAATCCACTATTTGCAGGTTTCTCTGTTTTTTCTTTCAGTTTCTTTTTCCTCTGCAAGTATGCTTCGTTTTCTCTGGTGATGGATTGTAAATTTGATGGATCAAGTACTCCTAAATTTACTACTGGATCCACTACTGTGCATTGGGGAATTTTCCTCTATGAATACTTGTCTGGCTTTTTTATAGGAGAAATGATAATTCTATGGCTGATTATGTTTTCTTGGTGTTCTGTTTGTGTGTTTGTGTTGATCTTTTAAGAGATTAAGTGAAAAGTGAACAATGAACAAGGATAAGATATTCAAGCTAGCCAAGGGCTTCAGGGGAAGGGCCAAGAATTGCATAAGGATTGCCAGAGAGAGGGTGGAGAAGGCCTTGCAGTATTCCTACAGGGATCGCCGCACCAAGAAGCGAGACATGCGATCCCTGTGGATCCAACGCATCAATGCTGGCACCCGCATCCATGGTGTATGTATCGAATTGTGTCTATTATCTTATATGTGGTTTGAGAGAATTATAGCAGTTTCTCTTTCAATTGGTTTTGGACTTCAATCTAAGTTACCGTTTTCCTGCCACTGTTGTTTGCTATGTTTATATAGTTATCTTTATCCAGTTGAGTTATTCCTGAGTTCCTTTCTATATTGCCTACAACTTGGATGGAAAAGACAGAGAGAAAAATACATGTGAAGAAAGAGGATGATGAGTATTGATTTGCTCAAAGATTGTTATCTTGAGCAATAGGTAGCCAATCTTTGTATGTATAGGTGGTGGTATGGCGGTAGAGTGAAAAGGCCATCCTATTGATATGGCAGTGAGTCAATGACTCTGGTAATGTGGTCTTGTGACTGAGCCTCACCATAAGCCTCACCATCAGTAGGGCATGTAGGTATGCTGATGTGGATTTTCTTTAAACAAAATGGGACAGGAATTGTGTCAGGCCATTTTGGTTGAGGATAATTTCAAGAGACCTTTATTCCTAGCTTGCCCGTTTTAAGTCACTCTGCTTCTCTTCCTTTCCTGTCCCTCTGGCATTCCTTTCAGTCTGAGGTTGCGTTGGAGTCGTATATTGTTGAAAATCCTGATTATTGAAAATTAAGGACTTCAGTTTTTCAATATGCTGCAGAACAATGAACTTTATATCAGTTTTTGTGGGTTTTAGGAGTTAAAGATGGGAAAACGAGAGACTATTTTTTTGGCTAATGTATACATTTTTTCCTCATAGAATAGTAAGAGAAGCATGTGCCATCTATGCCTGGTCATCCTAACGGGGGTAGGGTCTTTTTTGTTAAGTTTTTTTTGCCTTTTTTGTCTAGAGGTTGCTTAAGCATAAAAGATCAAGAGGATTGTTAGTGAAAAGTACCTGGAGAAAAGTAAAAATAATAGCATGCGAAATTAAGGGTGCTCATTGGAATTCTTGGAATTGGTTACGAAGATTGTTAGCATGTAAATCCTGTCTGTGGTCTTAAGAACTTTGCTTAATGTTTTCAAATTGACTTCAAGTTTTTAGTTTTGGTTCTCATTGGAATTCTTGGAATTGGTTATAAAGGTTGTTAGCATGTAAATCCTGCCTGTGGTCTTAAGAACTTTGCTTAATGTTTTCCAATTGACTTCAAGTTTTTAGTTTTGACTTGAATATTCTCTGCACTAAAGTAGATCCAAATTATATTTTTATGGTTGGCTTTGGAAAGTCTAGGAAGTTGGGGAAAGCTACAGCAGTTTAGATTAAGATATAAGGAATCGTATGTATCTTTCTGGACCTTCTGGCCTGAAAGAAGCTGTTGAGCTGTTGGATGGGTAGAAGCTGGAACATATTGCTGATTTGATGATCTTAAGCTATTTGAGTGGTTTTTACGCGATTTCCTGTATAATATATGTTTTCTAGTGTATTCTGATCTCCCTTTTATTTGGGTTTTACTGTTGTCGTCAGGTTAATTATGGGAATTTCATGCATGGGTTGATGAAGGAGAACATTCAGCTGAACAGGAAAGTTTTGTCAGAGCTGTCCATGCACGAACCATACAGTTTCAAGGCCCTAGTAGACATCTCTCGCACAGCCTTCCCTGGGAACAAGAACGTGGTTCATGCTCCCAAAAAGGAAGGCCTTTCAATGCTTGTGTAATTGGCCTTTTAGTTAAATCCATATTTGCTTAATATTTTAGAGCTTGTATGGAACAGAACTTTCTGTGTCTCTTTTTTTGGTCGTTTTGTCCTTTAGATTTTGATCAAGATTATTGCATTAACAAGATTTTGATCACTAATATTTTAGATTTTGTCCTTTAGATGTTAATGCAAATTTTAGTGAACCTGCAAGCATTTCTCTTTACTTCCTTCCCCCACCTCCTTATCTGCACTGAGTCCACTTCATTCGGATGGTCGTGACTCGTGTATGCCATAGACGTTCGTTCATGATCGCGGTTCTATACATATGTATTGTGGGAAAAGATAATGAAGTATCTAGAGGAATCATAATAACCTAGTAGACTGATAAACACATTTTATTTTGAATATATGATGCGCAGATTTTGGGTTCGGTATGTTTGAAAACGGGTATATAAACTCATACCCCCAACATCATAATTTGTGCTTCGAGGCCTTGGCTTATCAGAAAAACTTAGTGAAATAGGGATAGCATTGTTTTGCTATTCTCAGCTAATTATAGATTGTCACGTCAAAAAGTTATCACGTGTGGCATGCTATGATTGATCAGGGATAGCGAAACAATGCTATTCCCGTTTCACACTAGTGTTTCTCCTTAGCTATTGCTTTTGACTTCGAGATTCTTTAGTTTTATTTGCCATCATGGCCTTTATTCTCAAGAGTTGAGTAAGCACCAACTTTGTCTCAAGGAAACACAATTGAATACAGATACACTTGACATCTCGTTTTTATCATGTGAACTGGCAATACAAAGAAATACAAGTTGCAAATTTGAGGGAAATTGATGAGAATATGAGATGTCCTATTTTCTTACTCATTTAATAATCCTATTAATGGGTCAAGGGATACTATCTTATTCACCTAAGTTTAGTCCTTCGTGACATACACAACTAAACACAATTATAGAAAGACTTTCTACATCCAAGTACTATTGATACAAAGAATCAGATCAGAACTTGGTAGGATTGGCTTTTGGATCTTCCTCCAAATAGAGTTTTTTCTTCAATATTGCAGAAAACTCATAGTTTGACACGTGTATGTAAACTTGTTTTTTGTTTTTAATGAGTAACTTTAGTGCCAACAAGGTTTAGTCCAATGAAAAAGGTCTTAACTTGCAAACCAGTGATCTCATGTTCAAACCTCATGCATTGGATGAGTGTGTAAATCCCTCTTCCCCCACCGCCACCGCCCAGTAATTTAGATTATTGCTTGTACTAAAAAAAAAAAGAATAATTTAGAGAAAACTTCACTATGTATGTGGTATACAAATTCCACAAAATCTATGAAATGCCTTTTGATTGCCCCGTATTTATTAGGGCATTAACTGCTTAATGGGATAAGAAATCATGAGTAACGTGACATTCGTTGCTTGTCCGTTACCAATAATTGAATTGATCTTCTAATTAACCATATGATTGAATTGATCTTCTAATTATCCATATTCGATCTTGCAAGACTCATAGAGCCAACATGTTAAGTGTCCAATATACGTGTTCTCCTCTACTAACTTATGTAATGAGGAGCATGTTATTAGTTTCCCGAGTATAAGCTCGTGGATAAATTTATTTTTACACAGTAAAATTGCTACCTCTTATTTAATTCTTTTGGGTCCCCACTCCCCACCCGAATTCTGAGACGAAGGGGAAAAGCCTAGATATAGACTGTAGTCACTGTAGTGTAGCCCATCCAGCCAATCACACCTGGCCTTAACAGTTTAGACCAAACAAACAATAAAAGATAGAAAGTCCACCCCAAAACAGCACGGACATCCCTCCCTACGATTTGCAGCGGCTCCGATCTCCACTCCAGCCACCCTCCTCACTCCTCACTCCTCACCTTCAGCCACACGCATGCCGCATTGCTGTCGCTGCTGCTGCTGCTAGCTTTGTAAGTTCTTCTTCTTCTTTCTTTATCTTTTTCATCTGAACAATTCTTCGAAATTCTTCCTTTTTTCTTCTCTTCTTCTTCTTCTTCTAAAAATTTCTCTCACATTCTTCCTATCTTCTTCTTCTTCTTCTTCTTCTAAACCCTTCATTTCTTACGTTCTTTCTTCTTTTAATCCTTCATTTCCATTATTTTTCTTCTTAATTGAATTTTTATTCTGCTTGTTTCTAATTTAGGATTTAGGGTTCTTATATAATAATAATAAATTAGGGATTTAGGGATTTTGACATTACAGACTTGTGGGGTGGAAATGAATGGAATAACATTTGCTTCTATTGCTTATGCTTTGATATTCAATAGCAAGGAACTGGATTTTGAAGTTTTTGAACTTGATCATTGAATGACTGCTATTTCTGTGTATTTGTAAATTGTAATAGCTTCTGAAAAGTGAAAAATATAGAGACTAGTAGTCATTGAAGATTCAAATGGACAGCGAAACTATTAAGATAAGAAGGGACAGTGAAGGGACTTCTTTTATAGTTTAGTTAAGAACTTTGGGCTTCCTTTTAGTGTGTACATGAATAGCTTTCTCAGTGCAAAGGCTGTTAATTTACGCATGTGTTTTCTTCTAATAAAAAAGTGGCCACCAAGAAATGAAAGAATCTCATGGGTGTGATTAACGGGTTCTGTAAAATTGGAGAAAAACAAAGGAGGCTCTGTGGGAGTTTCAATTGAGGAAAATTGGCTTAAAACTTCGGCCCAACCCACTTTTAAATACTGGGTCCATGCCTTCTACAAAGTAGTCGTCGATCTTCTAACTTCGCTTTCTTGCATCTTGGAAGCCCCTGTACACCAAAGGTGTAGGCTTTTTGGGATATATGCTTTCTATGTTTGAAAAGAATTTGCAAGTTCGTTTCTTGATTGTTTTGTATGTTGTTATGATGTCCAATTCAAACAAGTTGTTTACTTATCCTTTTCTGCTGCAGATTCCACCAACATATCTAAGCGTTTGATTTGTAATAGTCGTGAAGCTGCTGCTTTGCTCTTCTGAACCATTTCTAACTGAAACGTCAGCTGTTAAAAGTCAGCTCATCTAAAGACAGCACACATAATTGCTACAGTTGATGACACTGTCACAGTCGATTCTTCTAAAGAATATTGAAAATTTTGGCTCATCTGAAGGCAATTTTGGCAATGTTAAGTACTTATTAATGTCACTAAGGGTGAAGTATGACGACAATGAAATTTCCAAAGCGTTACTTAGTCGTCATATTGACCTTCATCAGCACATCCGTTTGCTATATAGAACGTGTCGGGTTTTCAATTGCATACACTGTTGCCGCTGATGCTGCTGGGGTAAATCAATCAAGTAAAGGCACAATTCTTTCTACATTCTATTATGGCTATGCTTGTTCACAAGTGCCTGGTGGCTGGGCAGCTCAGAAAATCGGGGGAAGGAAGGTTCTTCTCCTTTCATTTGTGTTATGGTCATCGACTTGTGCATTGATTCCTTTGGACCCCAATCGAGTCTTTGTCATGGTGATTGCTAGATTGCTTGTTGGTGTTGCACAAGGTTTCATCTTCCCCTCAATCCACACAGTTCTAGCACAGTGGGTTCCACCACATGAAAGATCCAGATCTGTTTCTCTTACAACTTCTGGTATGTACCTAGGTGCTGCGGCGGGAATGCTTTTCCTTCCAAGCCTTGTAAAATATAGAGGCCCCCAATCCGTCTTTCTTGCTGAGGCAGCACTAGGAGCCATGTGGTCTTTGCTTTGGTTTAAGTATGCCAGTGACCCACCTCGCTCTGAACATCCAAAAGCCACAGCTGCTGGTTTCGGGGAATCAATGCTGCCAATCAAAGGAAGTCAAAAGTTGAAACTAGAAAATGGAGGAAGTTCTGTCAGAACTGCCAAAATTCCATGGAAGAAAATTTTACTCAGTTTGCCAGTCTGGGCAATTGTGGTTAATAATTTCACGTTCCATTATGCTTTATATGTGTTAATGAACTGGCTGCCGACATACTTTGAATTGGGCCTCCAGCTTAGCCTTCAGGAAATGGGTTCTTCTAAGATGTTGCCGTATCTCAACATGTTTATTTTCTCAAATATAGGTGGGGTGGTTGCTGATCACTTGGTCACCAAGAGAATCTTGTCTGTGACTAGAACCCGGAAACTCTTGAACACCATCGGGTTCATAGTTGCTTCTATTGCATTGATGGCAATTCCCATATTCAGAACATCTGGTGGGGCTGTTCTCTGCTCTTCTGTGGCCCTTGGTTTCTTGGCCCTTGGGAGAGCTGGTTTTGCAGTGAATCACATGGATATTGCCCCGAGATACGCAGGCATTGTGATGGGAGTTTCTAACACTGCTGGTACGTTAGCTGGCATTATTGGAGTTGATCTGACCGGAAAACTTCTTGAAGCTGCAAGAACTGTTGATTCGAGTCTTTCAAGTGCAGAGAGCTGGAGAGTGGTGTTTTTCATTCCGGGTTTGCTTTGCATTTTTAGTTCTTTAGTATTTTTACTATTCTCAACAGGGGAGAGAATTTTTGACTGAGATAGGCTTTTGCATGCGAACCTCTCGAAGCTCCTCAATAGGTGTTCGGATTCTTCATTTATAATTGTTTGTGCAATGAGGCTGCTGATGTAGTGTAGCATATAATTGTTCCCTTGGGAAAACATATGAACTTAAAAGCGCCCATAAAAGATTGGTATCTAGAAATAGCAGGTCAAATGTGGGGATTACAATGTATGCTTAATAAGCTCTCTGATTGCTTCCAGCATATAATTCTTGTGTATGAAGGATAGATGAAATTAATAAGCTCATAAACAATCTGAAATGGTCAACCTAGACCTGCAAATTATCGATTTTTATAATGTATTTGTTAAATTTGATTTCCATCCCCATACCAGGTTTCATCTGGTTAATGGAAATGTTGTTTGTTTGTGGAATATCCAGTTGTAATTGACAGACAATTGATACGATAAAAGAATTAGTGATGGTTCTATAAACTTGTGCAACTCTGTATGATGTCCTGGGTTAGGCTGGCTTCCTTTGATTTCTTTTTTATATTTCGGATCGAACTTGAGGCCTCGTCCAACAAAGTGCATATCCCATTCTACAAGATTATGCTACATTGAGTTAGTTTCTCTGGAGTTTCGGCCTAGTTGTAACTTTTGGTGATAATTTCGTTTGTCATTTTTAGTTTTCATTTTTTAGTTAGAGATGGAAGTAAAGCGTATAGGGGAAAATAAAAACAAATCTTAAGAAACTTTTGTTTTCATTTTCATAAGCATTTCTCCCACATACTCCCACGACCTTTTTTACACAATTTTTTCTCATTTTCTCCTGCATATTTTCATTATATCTTTGATAAAAATTTGAAACTAAAAATTAAATGGTTACTAAAATTTCATATCTTCAACAATCTTTAACAAATCCTCCAGTAAGCACATTATGAAATCAGGAGAAAACATCCATCAAGTCAGGCCTTTCTGAACTATTCAATTCAACTATGCTTCTGCAGAACCAAGTTCCAAAAAGTTTTAAATTTTGTGCAAAAAAGATATATTTATAAATAAAAAAAACCCAACTGAATAAGCAGTGCGAACTTTAAGGACATGCCGCGCGGCTATACTATTAATTTGAAAAAGAAAAAAAAACACGGAGTATAGCCGAGCGGCTATACTATTTATAAAAAAAAATAGCCCCAGTATAGCCGCGCGGTCGTATTATTTATTTAAAAAATTTAATTTTGACAAGTTACAACTGAAAAGTTCCAACATTATAAAATATTTTACAACAATTTATTTTAATATTTTAATATATATTATTTCTAATCAATAATATGTAGAAATTATGTGTAGAATACATGAAGTTTGTGTGAATTATTGAAAATTTTGTAAAAAAACACGTGTATTAAATATGAAAAATACATATGTATGTGTACAATATGTGTATTATATGTGTGCTTTACGGAAAACAGAAGTATTATTCAAAAATACATACGTACGTGTATAATATGAGTATTAAACGGGAAAATATACAGATAATAACTCTCGAAAAGTAAAAAATCAAAAGGAAGTATTATACGAGTATTATATGGAAAATGAAAGTATTATTAAAAAATACATACATATTGTATTAAAAGGAAAATTGTTAAATTCTTTATACAAATAATAACTTTGAAAAAGTAAAAAATCAAAATGGTACAATAGAGACTTGGGTAATGGCCTAATAGTAATGCATAATGCTCTAAACTACTCTTATTTATAAACGAAAATAAGGGAAAAAATAATTTTTATACAAATAAAAAAGGACCCCTAGTATGTATTTAAATCGTATAGCCGCGCGGCTATATTATTTATTAAAAAAATAAAAAAAAAAAGACCCATGTATAGTCGGGCGGCTATACTGTTTGAATACAATATATTTATACGGTATAGCCGAGCGGCTATACTATTGATTTCAGGAAACAAAAAAAGGGTTTATAGCCGTGCGGCTGTACGTTTTTAAAAAGGGCCAAAAAAGTGTATAGCCGTTCGGCTATACTCTTTTAATATATTATATTTAAAATGTATAGCCGTTCGGCTAGACTATTAATTTGAATAAAAATTAAAAAAGGGTATAGCCGACCGGCGATACTATTAATTTGGAAAAAAAAAAACAAAAACGGAGTATAGCCGCCGGGCTATACGCGTTTAATATATTATATTCCAACAGTATAGCCGGTCGGCTATACTATTTATTTATAGAAAAAAAGAAAATAGACCCGAGTATAGCCGCTCTTAACCATTTTACAATTCCCTTGTTCATGAATGATCTCTTCTAGATAAGCAATTTTTTTCAGAAAATCTTGGTTGCTTGCGTAATCGTAAACTTGAACCATCAAAATGATAAAAAATATTCAGAAATTTTTTTATATAACCATCAAGTGTATAGAACTGATACAGTGACCCCTGATGTTTCAGTTGCAAATAAATAAAAAATAAAAAGTTTTCAGCTATTAAGGGCAAAACTGGAAAAACTCTCTTCTCTTGAACGTCTCCAACTCTCCCCACACTTGAACTCGGGTTCACCAAAATGTTCCTCCTCCACCGGCAGCGCGTCGCCGCCCTCCAGCTCCAAATCCGACGCTACGCCCAATCCGCCACAGCCGCTCTGCTCCCTCCGGACCCGGAACTCGAACCGGACTTCCCGAGACCGGACCCGAAATACGCCGAGACAATCTTCGCCGTTCCACGCGCCGCCTCGGGTAAGAGCATCTCCGCCAAAGAGCGCAAGGCCGGCCGCGTCCCCAGCATTGTCTTCGAGCAAGAGGATGGCCAGCACGGCGGCAACAAGCGCCTCATCTCTGTACGGACCAACCAAATCCGAAAACTTGTGGGTCATCTCGGCCGCTCCTTCTTCCTCTCCAGACTCTTCGACCTCGAGGTTCGCTCCGACTTCGACTCTGAAGACGACGAAGTCGTTGAGAGGGTCCGCGTTTTGCCTCGCATGGTATGTATGGTCTGCTCAACTTCACTTCAAGAGATTTGATTTTTGTTTTGGGTTATAGGGTTTATTTGATGTTTGGGTTTTGTTTTGTTTGTTAGATTCATTTGCACTCGGCCACGGACGCACCGCTTAATGTGACCTTCATAAGGGCTCCTTCTCATGCTTTGTTGAAAGTCGATATTCCTCTTGTATTTCGGGGAGATGATGTCTCTCCTGGATTGAAGAAAGGTAAAACAAATCAATCCCCTTTCCTTTTGTGTCTTCTATCTATCAGATTTCATTTCCTTGTTCCAATTTTCCTTTGGAAATTTCTGTTTCTATTTTCTTCTTGTGTATGAGATTTCGTTTCGGTCATCTTCATCTTTGCAGCACGTGTAGATATAATTATAACTGTCCTTTGTGTGTACAAATTGTTGTAGCTAGCAAAGTAGGATAATTGGTCAAAATTTGTTCGTGGTTTTGTTTTTCTATAGTCGTATATAGAACAACAAAAACAGAGGTGCTTGTGCGCTTTGATCACAACTTACCGTCAGAATATTGCCTTCATGATCATTATGAGCCTTCCATGAAGGTCGAACCGTCTGAAATTTAAAATTGTTCTAGAACTTTTGTGGGAAATCAATGTTTCTAACATTTGATTATAAAACGATTGGCAGTTTTTGTTTCAAAGTGGAATTCATGACATGGGTGATTGAGAATATGAAACTTTCTTATGGAGTATGTTATTAATTTGAACTCATTAGCAACTGAGGTTGAGAATTCCAGCTATTATCAGGAAATCAAACAAGGTTTTTGTTGATTGTGAAGAGTTTCGATTGTTAGGGAAACAAGTCAAATTTCTAATCAAACTTTAGGGGCTGGGGGTCTCATTAGAGATTGGAAAAGTGACTGGGTCATAGATTTCTATGCTAATCTGGGGTCAGGATATTTACAAACCGAAATGTGCCTTTCTCCATAGCTTGGGAAACTCAAATTGCTCATATCTTGGTTGAGGTGGATTCCGCCATTGTTGCCTCCCTTTATGGGGTCTGGCTGATGAGTGCAGAGAGTTGATCCATAGGCACTTGCACTGTTTTGCTGCTCATATTCACAGAGAGAGAAATGTTGCTGCAGATGCGCTAACCAAAATGGGGATAGGTAGGGACGTAGGGCTGGCAAGGCTTAGCCTAGACTGATTGTTCTTTAGTTTCCTGGTTCCTAGCTTTGCCTCCAGGAAACAGTATATAGAGACTTCATTTGATCACAGCTTATTTTTCATATCCTATTATATTATATACTGTAAACTCCATTCCATAGATTTGGTTGATATTAGCGTCTTGTGCAGGGCAGTAACTTCATAGTCTTTGTTTCAAATCATTACTCATAATCTCATGAGTCGTGTTGGTTACTATGGATTAGTTTACTTTTTTGTTAGAATAATTTTAATGATCTGATTCATTTAAGTGTGACCTTTAACAACTTGGCAGGTGCCTATTTAAATACAATCAAGAGGACTGTAAAGTTCCTTTGCCCTGCAGATGTGATTCCTCCATATATTGATGTGGATCTGAGTGAGTTGGATGTCGGCCAAAAGATATTAATGGGAGATCTCAAGGTTCATCCGGCTCTAAAGCTTCTTCAGTCAAAAGATGAGCCTGTTTGTAAGATCATGGGAGCCAGAGTTTCTGAACAAAAGAAATCTAAATAACTGCTATGGTCCGCCCATTGTCATGAAAATGTGCTGGCACCATTATCCCTTCTCAGCTAACATGTTTATGTGTTCGACCACACATCTTTTGATTTGTAATGGCTGTGAAGGACAGGGCAATGAAATGTCATTGTGAGTTTTCACCCTCAGCTTTTTCGTTTTTGGGTTTCTTTATCTTTTGATGAGGGAGCGCTGGCGGTCGAGGATGCCATTAAAGGGAGGAAGAAACTGGGTCTGCTTCGTGTATCTTGTGAATCTGATCCGGAATTCTATGCTAATAAGCATTTTTGTTCATAGATGTTCTCAATGGACACACTTGAATGGATGTCCCTTGCTCAGTTTCTGTGTTTTCAAATTGAAAAAAATATTACTCATGTGCCAAGCACATGACATTTTAACTGAAAATTGGATAAAATTTGAAACACTGGATGGTTGCGGCAAAATTGGCTATTTATAAAGAGTTTAACTTGGCGACACTCAACCCTAAAATAAATGGTAGCGTTAGCCGGCATTGTATACTTATTTTTAAAAATATTTACTCTAAATTAACTTAATCTGTATTCGAACTTGGGTGTAAGTGGAGCATCTTGGTCAACTGGTGATGACTTGGGTGTAAGTGGGCGAGCTCACTACCTTGGTCAACTAGTGATGACAACCCTAGGTCAAATTTGCTAAAATGGATCAGAAGCTGAAATGGGGAACAAGAACTTTCTAATTGCTTGATAATGATGAGAGACAGCATCTCAGCACAAATTTTAGTTTTAACATGTGATAGGAATAAAGTGTTAAAAGATAAGGAAGGAGGAAAAGTGTTGAACTTTTTAGAAGCAAGCTTTTTATGAGGAAAGCATCCAAAGCTCCTTCGAATTTGATTTAATACGTACACATAAAGCTAATTGGGTGTCTTTCTCAAAACAAAACAAAAACAAAAAAAAGCTAATTGGGTGTCAAGTTCAACTGAGTTATGGTATGGATCAAGAATCAAGATGAGGGTGTCATTATTACCCTTTAATTCAATACAAAATTAAGATTTCTCACTAACTAAACACGAACACGAAATTAAAGTTGAAGGAGTTTTAAGGACTAAAAAGAGACACTAGTTTCAGAATTTCACTAATGCCTTTGAATATTTTTTAAATTCAAATGCACCATGTGTTGTAGAAATAAAAGTAAAAGTAAAGAATGTATTGTTTATATGCCAAAGTCAAGTGTACTGTGTTTAATTTTCAATTGTTCAATTATCTTCCCCATATAAAGTAGCAGCCTCTTGTCCTTAAAAATAGTGACCCTCAACTAAGCTCTGTTAATTCTCTCTCTCAGAAACCATAAAACCTTTTCATCTCTTTCTCTCAACCATGGCATCTCAGCCATGGATGTGCATAGGCTTTTTAACTTCCATGCTTGTTCTCATGGGTGCAGTGGAGGCCCTTCCCATGGCTAATAAAATTGTGAGTTTGCCTGGGCAGCCACGTGTCAGCTTCCAACAATTTGCAGGCTACATTGATGTAGATGACCACCCACAGAGATCTCTGTTTTACTATTTTGTTGAAGCAGAGTCTCGCCCTGCTTCGAAACCGCTTGTTGTCTGGTTCAATGGAGGTGATTTTAATCTCTTTTTCAATGTATGCAGCTAAAATAAAGACACAAGTCCCATTGTTCTTCTGGGTTTTGAGTGTGTTTCTAACTTGATCATCTTCTTCCTTTGTAGGGCCTGGTTGTTCGTCGGTTGGAGAGGGCGCTTTCGTTGAACATGGTCCTTTTAAACCAAGTGGAGGGGCTACTCTAATAAAGAATCCATACAGTTGGAACACAGGTACCCTTCAATAAAAATTCTAGAAATTCTAGTTCAACATAGATCTTAGTTGCTCATTGTTGATTTCTTGAGTTTGTCTTTGTTTCACAGAAGCAAACATGTTGTACCTAGAGTCACCAGCCGGTGTTGGTTTCTCATTTGCTGCTGATAAGTCATTTTACGAAAATGTGAATGACGACATAACAGGTTCGATTTTGTCCCGATTTTCTTATTGTCAAAACTAATGTGTAGAAGAATTTCACTTAGTTTCTTCTGCTTCTTCTTTAGATCTGCTAACTCTCTAAGTGACGGTGAGTTTGTTCTGTTTGTTCAGCACGAGACAGTTTAACATTTCTTCAGCGCTGGTTTGACAAATTTCCAGAATACAACCACAGAGATTTGTTTCTTGTAGGAGAAAGCTATGCAGGTTTGTTTTGATTTAATGAAAGAACATAGATAGATGTACTAAATACTTTTAGCCATCTTTTTAAGACTTTGAGAATTTTAAAAACTAAGAGCTGATTAGTTGACATGATTTGTTTCGGGGACGGAGGGAGAAAGAAGATCTGTTAAGACTTAAGAGCTGATTAGTTGTCTGTTTTTGTTTCTTATAAATAGGTCACTATGTGCCACAACTTGCACAGCTAATAATTCATTCTCGTGTGAATTTCAACCTCAAGGGGATAGCTGTGAGTAAGAACATGAAAAATATGACATTTAAATACATCCATAGGGTTGATTTCTTAATGAGCTCTCATGATGATGATATAACAGATAGGGAACCCTCTGCTGGAATTCAGTACTGATATCAATGCGGAGGATTTGTTTTACTGGTCTCATGGGCTGATTTCTGATGCTGCTTATGGACTTCTCACTTCAGTCTGCAACAGTTCTCAGTTATTGAGAGAGACCATAGCTGGCTCTCCCTCTGCTGCTTGTTCTGATGTAATCACTCAAGTTTCACAAGAACTTAGCAACTCTGTGGACAAATACTACGTTACTGGCGACATTTGTTTGTCGCCCCCCTTTCCAACAAAATTGGAACTTCTGAACCCGTTAAGGTCAAACTTTCGAACTTCAGCATTTCATCGTTCACGTGCAGAAGCCGGCAATTATAATCAGGTAAACAGAAGCGGTCAAGCGCTAACCAGTTAGTATATATTGTATATGTCTGTGCAACTCTACATGAAAAATGTAGCTTCATTTTTAAACTCTCCCTTTTTCTTGTTTAAAGATGTCAAATGACTAGCTAATTTGTATCTCACTTGCTTGCAGCAACTTACGGACAAGATAGATGCCTGTGTAGAGGAAGAAACAGTGACTTATTTAAACAGAAAAGATGTACAAAAGGCCCTTCATGCAAAGCTTGTAGGAGTCTCTAATTGGAGTTTGTGCAGCCGGTAAAATTTAAACCCCTTGTTATTTTTCTTTTCGAAAAGTAAATCTTGATGACCTGGGTGTTTTTTTTATTAACTTCTTGTCGAGATTGGGAATAATCTTGGGTGGGGGTATTTTTGTTTGACTATCTTAAGCTTAATTACTTCACTGCAGGGTTCTGCAATATGATATGGGAGATCTGGAAATTCCTACCATTCCTATTGTCGGCTCACTTGTCAAATCTGGCATTCGTGTAATGGTTTATAGGTAATTTGATGAGCTGTTCGAAGCTCAAAATAATACTTGAAACACCAACTCTTTTACCAACTTTCTCGTATGATGCGAGCTAAGTTTTGTGAGATTACGAAACTATGTAGCGCCGATTCTATATTTGAGAGAGTTGAGAAAAGAGTTGGTGCGTGCAGTATTACAAATATGTGTTGTGGTACTAATGATTCAATTGAATTGTTGCAGTGGAGATCAAGATTCAGTGGTTCCATTTTTTGGAAGTCGAAGTTTGATTAATGGATTGGCGAAGCAGCTGGGTCTCAAGTCAACTGTGCCTTACAGAGCTTGGTTTGAGGGAAAACAGGTCACCCTGCTTCACATTCATATAACATAATAATATATATCACATTAATTAACACCCAATAACGTAATTTACACGCACTACGAGCCTGCCTGCCTGCTTACTCACTTATACTAACTAAACCCGAAACCCTAAACCCTAAACCCATACACAAACTCTCTCTGTTTTTTTCCCCTCTCAACTTTTTAGGTCACAAGCATACTTTTTTGTTGTTGCCATAGTTATGAAGGGGGAGGCGGGTTTTGTCACACACTGCCAAGGTGCTATAGAGGTTCGAACTTGAGACTATTGGTCTGCAAGTCAATATCGGCGCTTTTTACTCTAGGCTAGATCCGGTTAGGCAGGTCACAAATATAAACTTGAAACTGTGTTTGATATTTGAACTGTTTTTCTTTTTTCTTTTTCTTCTCAGGTTGGTGGGTGGACACAAGTTTATGGTGATATCCTATCATTCGCCATCATAAGAGGAGCTTCACACACAGCTCCATCTACACAACCAAAGAGATCACTTGCGCTGTTTAAGTCATTTCTAGGAGGCAAACCACTGCCAGCCCAAGCATGATCAGCTCTCCATGGACCTGTAATTTATCAGCAAATGAATGCACCCTCCGGATCCTCTCCCATAAAACTATTGATCAATAAATTGATGAGTTAGGAATGCCATGGTCTCTAATTTGCAATTCTTGTAAAATGAATGATGTCCCCTAGGTTATATACATTTTTAACATCATTTGAGGTTTGCCTTTAACAGAAAATTGCAGCTAGCAGCGAGAGCATTTGCAAATTGCATGCATAATGAACCCTTTAAATATGAACCACTCGCTGTTACCACATCGTGAAAATACATATGGTTTTATTTATTGATGATGCGAACAATGAGAAATTTGTCCTAAATATTTGGATGACACCTAAAAATTTGTCTTTTTTATTTATTTATTTATTTTAAATATTTTTTTTTCCAGGAAAGGCAGAGATGGGGGGCTGAAAAACCACTCATACTGCCTAAATTGGTCCAACCAAACCAATCCAAGCAATTTGGTTAGTTTTTACGATAGAAAGGTGAAATATGGACCGAACTGAGCAAAATGCAATTAGTTTGGTTCTACTCATTTTAGTCTATTTGGAGGATGTTGTACTAAACATAAGACCTTGTTATCAACACCCTGAACACACACAACCCAGAAAGTATGAAGAATTGCACACCACGCATAGTGGCACACATAACAAAGAAACAACAAAAGAACATAAAGATTTATAGCGGTTGGTCGACAGAGGAGAGCCACGATATGATATTGTGGTGGTACATGCAACTAAACTGGTGTTGTTGTTATGGCATGGTTAAGTGGGCGGCCTAAAACAGAGTTAGGAGATTTGTGTCGTAGTTGGCTGATCATCATATTTGCTCAATAAGGTTATCTACTCTCGTTGATGGAACCAAAATATGAACACCAAAATGGAGAGCAAATAACCTTGTTGAGCAAAATGTGAGTTTTAGGACTTAATTGAGCTATATAATTTTTTGGTTGAAAATTCCATTATAAAGTTGGTCATGTGATGAAACTTGACTAATTTTAATGAAA